ATTTCAACCCTCTTTTCATGTGGTTTTTTGCTGTAAGTATATTGCCATTGCACAACTGGCAAAAAATGTTTTAACTTTTGGGGGAATATAAAAGTTCCACATCGTACTCCACCCACCCACACCCGGTTAAATTCCCCCACTAAAAAATCTATTGCAACTCCTCGCTGAATAATTTGCATCTTACTCCCAAGCCCAAAAAACTCAAGCAAAAATAATTCTCTTACCGATTGGAATACTTTCTATCAACTCTCTATCTATATATCCCATAGACGCTCTTCCGAGTAAAATAAATCTTCCACGTGACACTGTTCTAAACTGCTCACAAGGCTTTTCTAAATCCTCCGCTTTACCAATTTTTCATCCCAAATGTATCGCTATTACGACATATTTTGCCTCCTAGAAACTTCTCCATATGTTTGAAGGATTCATTCCTATTCTATATTTCCAAAGAGAAACCAACGGTAATACCTTGCTTGGAACAAACAGGCAACCAACAAATTTGGCTCAAAACCAGTCTCAGGGTTGTCAAATAAGGAAGATCGTGAGGATGCGATGAATAGCCCACCATGGCGTCAAGACTATTAATTAAGGATGATCATGAGATAGGTTGAGCAATCCAAATGTGATACGGAGACCTGGTTAACAAATAAAGATAACTGGGAGATAGCTCGAGCGACGGTGCGGTTGCATAATACTAAGTACAAATTGATTTAGTGATGGTGTAATAGTGAGAATATGTAATGTTGAAGTTAATTTTCTCAATAATTGACTCAATATACGATAATCATTTTTAGCTATTTTCTTTTAATTATTTCTTTATTTCATGATTTAATTAGGAGATTCAACAATTTTAGCCGGCATTTAAAAAAACATTTTAGCCGGTATTTCACTCATTTAAGTTGATTCAACCAATTTTAGAGCCAATTTGGTAACACTGAAATTAGCCAAATCAACTAAAATTGATGAAGTTCTGACTGAATCTGCTGGACTATGGAAAATTATATTAAAAGTATGTTTTACTAATAAAATAAAGAAAAACTTATATGAAAAATTAGCTAAAATAGTCCTCTACAGTTAATTCAGTCAATTCAGTCAAGAAAGTAACCTCGATCTTACTAATTTTGATTAATATATAATTCACGCGAGAAATTAAAAGATGCGCATTTGTTTTTTTTTGCCCCGGAAGGCCAACCACCAAAATCAGTGGGGTAAATGACGGGGAACAAAAGATGCGCATTTGGTATAAAAAAGGACGATATAATAAGGATGTAAGCCCTAACAAAGGTCACCAAACGGGCCCTCAAGTGCTAGCAAATAGGCTCTTGTTTCTGCAAAGAGAAATCATCTCACTAATGTAGATGAATGTGTATAAAAATTAAAACTTGATATGTAGTATAAAGTTACAGGAAAAAGTACAGAAAAAGTACATCCGATTTGGATCGTTTTTAAATGCAATTGAATTGGATTTGAGAGAAACATTTGAGATTTTCTCCTAGAGTTGGGGTGAAGTGAGAGATTTATTGTAAAACTTAGTAGTTCCTTATGCACAAGATAAGGTAACATGAATTCTACCCAAAGAGATTAGAGTTGGAGCGACTCAATGATAAACTAGGAAAGTACATATTGTAACTTGTTATAAAATATGTCTTGTCGTAAATTTTCAAAATAAGATTTTTTTAATAATAAAAGTAAATATATTAATCGTCAAAATTGTGTGTTAGTAAACGTGAAAAGAGAAGTGTTGTAATTATAAGAGAACAAAAGAAATATTTAAAATAAAAAATAAACATCTAATTTTGCCAAAAAAAATTCTAAAGATCAGTTTGCCCAGGTTTTTAGGATAAAAAATTGTCTTTGGTAAATTGGTAAATCCCAACCCTAAAGTTAATATTCATGACTACAATTGTTTTACATATGAATGTAAAAAAGAGGATGTTGGATAATTGATACCCATATTGTATAAACAGGAGATTGAACAAGAGTGGAGAAGGAATAAAGAAAGTGTATAGAATGAATTAATACTTGTTATGGTTTACAAGCCTCCTATAAGGAGTATATATAGGGGAAATCCGGGTCTAGACCTCTAATACGGGCCTGACAGACCCAATTACATAAATGGACTGATAATATAAAAAGCCAATCTAGAACATCTTAATAATAATAATAATAATAATAATAATAATAATGTACAATAATATGAATGATATCTGCTAAGGTGTGTGGGCCGCTGTCCAGGCCCAGTAGTCGGCATACCGGGGGGTCGGAGTCCATATAATCCATCAGGAGTCCCCCACTCCCTGAGTCGAGAGTACTCGAGGCGAAAGGGAGTAGTCCAAACTGTATCTGCAACGTTCTTCCTCTTCGGCCGGGGGACCACCACCCTTGTCAATGATGGGGAGGTGCCTCGTTAAAAACCTTTACTAGGAAAAACCCAGTGGGAAAAAATCCTAATAAAGGGAAAAAGAGTACACCTAGCGCCCCCAACATAAAACAAGGGAGGTAAGTCTCCTCCGTCATAATCAATCTAGCTCAATTCATCTTCATCTGACTCATCCCTCGTTCCTGCTCGTGCGTGATATTTTCTCTTCACCTAGAAACTTCTAACCCCTCAGTCCCCCAGTCCCCACTCTTTGAGGCGAGTGGAGACGAGGTGAAAATGAGTAAAGTCATCTTTGTACCTGCACATTTATCATACATATAAAATCTTCTTCTTGGGATTTATGTTTCCGATCGAGAGTTCATTACTTGAAACAAGTGGAGATGTGAATTGTTAATGTAATGATTAAATACTTAGTAGGATGGTTGTGTGAGCCATTCGTGAGCAACGGTCGCCACTCGAGGAATGACTAAGACCGGTCTTCGTGCCCGATTTGGTCGGGGCTTTGTGCCTGATCGTGGTCAGGGCTTTGTGCCTGGATCAGGGCCAGGGCTTTGTGCCTGAGAGGTCAGGGCTTTAAATCCTAGTGATGGGTCTCAATCCACACTCTACTAGGCATTTGATCATAAGTGCATGATAGTGTGACATTTAACCGACAAAAAATATTGATTTAAATAAATATAAATAATATTAAAATTGAAGACACTTATCTTTTTGAAGTGGGCTGAAATATTGGACTGCTTGGGTTGAAATATGTTGCTTAAATTGAGGCCCTTATTCCCCATTGGGCTGCTCCACCAGATTTGGACCATATATGGCTTGGCGCACATCTTCCCTCTTAGCCCAAAAAGTCAGTGGGACTTTTTTTTAATTGTTGACTGGAGTCAACTGAAGTGTTTGACCACTTTTGCAAATGATGTGTGCGGGCAAATCACATGTAGCCTGGCCCACTGCCTTACTCTTGGTGCGTCCCAATTGATATCAATCTTGGCAGGCATTTAATTAGTCTGGTCCATTCTCAAATCCCACAGCCTGGCATTAGGTGCGGAGATAAGGGAGGCAGCTCCTCAAACCTGTCCTCGATGACGTACGGAGAGCTGGGGATGCGCTCTGCCTCGGCCGGAAATCGATGTCACCACCCTGTTCTCACCATCGTTGGTCCAAAGATGTCACTGGAACTAGTCATCAGCCCGGAGCCTCGCTTCGCCGGACAGAGAGGGGAGACCCACGACCACCACGGTTGAGTGGTCGTCCGCTGCGGTCGTCGCCGGAACAAAGGAGGAAAAGCTAGCTCTGGTCGTGACTGCTAGCTCTCCTCGCGGCGGAGCTCCAACATGGGGCGTCCTTGACCGGCAGATTCCTCAGGCCCCGTCAATGACCGGAGTTCCAGAGCAGCAGATCTTTCCAGTCGTGAACGGCCCACACGATTTTGGGGTAGGCTTTTCCGGCGAACAGAGCTTGCCAGCGGCCATTAATGGCGGACACAACTCGTGAAGCTAGAGAAAGTAGAGAGAGTTGTGGCCGGTGAGGGCACTACGACGGGGACAGGTGAACGAGCTAAAAACAACCGGAGGAGGCGCAACGCCGGAGGAGGACTGAGTTGCACGTCGCGGGCCGGACCTGATCCCTCCCTTGCTGCTCCGTTGACTTCAGTTCCGTTCTAGCCAGAACTGCTTCAAAGGACCATTCTAAACTCTTTTTTCTTTGCATTTCAGAAAGATCTCGACTGATTTCTTGTGATTCCAACTGTTTTGGATAAAACTTTTGTGATTTTGGTAGAGATTTTGGTTGATTGGGATGATTTTTTGTATTTTGGGGAGGTTTTCTCACTTGATTGTGTTCAATCTCTCAACGAGAGCACCATTGTTGGATAATTGATACCCATATTGTATAAACAGGAGATTGAACAAGAGTGGAGAAGGAATAAAGAAAGTGTATAGAATGAATTAATACTTGTTATGGTTTACAAGCCTCCTATAAGGAGTATATATAGGGAAAATCCGGGTCTGGGCCTCTAATACGGGCCTGACAGACCCAGTCACATAAATGGACTGATAGTATAAAAAGCCAATCTAGAACATCTTAATAATAATAATAATAATGTACAATAATATGAATGATATCTGCTAAGGTGTGTGGGCCGCTGTCCAGGCCCAGTAATCGGCATACCGGGGGGTCGGAGTCCATATAATCCATCAGAGGAGATTTGACTTTGGACCCCACTTTTTAGGTAATACTGAACTTTGTACCCATCTTCAAAAATTTTTAGGGAAAATTCCCGAAACGGGACTAAAAAAGTTTGAAAATTCCAAAATAGGACTGTCATGTTTTTATTCCCAAAATAAGACTAATTACTGCCAAATTTGGAAAATACTGCCATGTTTGAAGTCTGATACTGCCAAAACATGACAATAATTAGTCCTATTTTGGGAATAAAAACATGGAAGTCCTATTTTGAAATTTATAAACTTTTTTCGTCCCATGGGTGATATCTCAAATTTTTAACACTGCATCCCAATACATGCGAATTTTAACTTTTTAAGTGGAACGAGTGAAAAAACTACTCCGTATGCGATTACATTGATGTTGTGCGGTTGCACTAAAAAAATTGAAGTCATACGTAGTACAATTTTCACTTAAACTGTTTTTTTTATAGAGAAATCACTTAAACTGGTTGAGATTTAATATTCATTTATTGATGAAGCATCAAAAGCATGGTTGCCTGCCTAATCTTGAGTTTCTTTGTCCTGCAAAGCCTTTGACCCGACAGACTGAGATAATTTGATACTTGGCGCTGGAAGGAGAGCAAGATAGATGGAGAGGGTGAAGAAAAGACTGGGTAAATATGAACTTGGCAGAACCATTGGAGAAGGAACTTTTGCTAAAGTTAAGTTTGCCCAGAACACGGAGACAGGTGAAAGCGTTGCAATTAAAGTTTTAGCCAAGAGCACCATTCTTAAGCACCAATTGGTCGAACAGGTAGGTATTCACTGTTGTTTGGTCCATATTGTTCTTTAGTTTATGGTTCTCTTGGATTTGCAGCTTTTGACGCTTTGAGTGCCTTTATAATAATAATCCTTGAATTCTTCCAGTATTTCTGGTTCCAACTTTCTGATCCCTTGCCATCCATCTTCTTGTTGTGTGTAAAAGTAATGCTCCTTAGCATGTTACTTGACCTGCCATAGGTTATATGATAGTGTGAAGTTCTTGGGATATTTTCTGACAAGATTGAGGTATTGTAAAGGACTATGGTGGAAACTGCCTCGGGCGATTGAGAAGACAAATGTGCTGGAAGTTTAAAGAAAGGAATGTTATAGAACTCGTAAACACAAAATGAGTACTTGAAAGCAAAGATATATCAATTATAAAATAAAAAATTCATCAAGCCTATTTGGGAATACAAATCTTGATGGCTAGCTTTGATTTTCCCTGTTCATTGATACAATTTCATGAATTTGTCTTCCGGAGTTATAGACTGCAGATTGTGGCAGAGCTTTCTAAGAAGAAACTTCAGCTAACTTGTAAAAAAGTGTACTTGGGGGAGGGGGGTGTTTACAAAAAACAAAAAGAGACCATAAATATTGATTGTTTTTCAACTGATGAGATGATAGTAGTTCCGAGAAATTTGTTGATTTAGTCCCGTAACTTATAGCTATATCCGATATTGGTCCTATGACTTTATTAACTTGCAGATTAAATCCTGTAACTAACAACTTGGTGCAATTTTGGTCCTTCTCTGTCGGAACTTACCAATTTCGCCGGAAAAAGACACATCACATGCCACATGGTATATTATTTGGAACTCATTTGCTGACTCAATGTTGGCCCTTAGCTGGAGTTGAAAAATTATTTCTTCTTGGTTGCAGCAGGAGCATTTTGAATGAAGTTTAAAGCTTTCTGGATTCATGTTTTAAGAATAAAGCATTTGACAGTCTCCAACTCTTCTTAAAACTTCAGACCACATATATTACTCATAAACATAAACTTGAAAGTAAATAACATTGTCAATTCAAAATAAAAGATGTAAATTTTTAACAATTTAGGGAAAACTTACAACTAACAATAACAATGTCTTACTGCACCTTCATAATGTGGTACTAATTAATAACCTAAACTACCTAACACTCTTGAAATGTTACATCATCTTCACTTCTCACATGTTTAACATGAGAAAGACCAGGAGCAAAAACATTAGCCCACAACTATGAGGAGTCTATTATTTTTAGCCTTCAACTTTACAACCTCTTCCTCTTTTGAATTGAGTCTTCTAACCAATCCCGGAATTATCATCGTTCAAAGATGGCACATAGGTGGGTCCGCCCATTCAAAAAATCTGCAACCTTATGTCTGTATCAAAACAAGATGAAGCTTAACTTACTTTTTACTGCTTTGAACACAAAAATACATTATCAAATGCCCCCAACAAATAGAAGATGGTAATTTTATTAGAAGAACCTAGCTTAAAATTTAAATACTTTTTAAATTTCAAACAAATTTATTATTCAAATGCTATTCTTAAATTTCTAGTTTATTTAGTAAAAAAAGAAGCAAACAAAGTAAATTAAAAAGCTCAACTTCTTACTCTGCTTCTAGCGCACACACGAAACCTCCTTTCAGGATTGTTATCAGTCCAAGAAGTTAGAAGAGAAACCTTTTTACCACAATCACACTCCATAAACTCATGTCTGATCGAGAGCCGTTACTAGCAGATTTGAAGAATAACTCACTCTCTCAACTTAGTTCAGGAGAAATCTCCAGGTAGGGTTATGTGTTCTTTTCCCCTTTTGCAGATCCGATAATAGGCTTGGTATGGTTGTGCACGCACTCAGCGAAGAGCTTTCGTACTCTGATTTTTTAACTCCAGTTAAGGGCCAACATTGAGTCAGCAAATGAGTTCCAAATAATATACCATGTGGCAGGTGATGTGTCTTTTTCCGGCAAAATTGGTAAGTTCCGGCAGAGAAGGACCAAAATTGCACCAACTTATTAGTTACGGGATGTAAATTGCAAGTTAATAAAGTTACAGGACCAATATCGGGTATAGCTATAAGTTACGGGACTGAATCAACAAATTTCCCTAGTAGTTCCACTTCTATTAGAACCTAGAAGTGCCACTATTTATTTCTCAAAATGCTCTTAGGAAGTAGAGGCGCTTCTATTTGATGTTTGTTATAACTTGTGGTTCTGAAAAAGGGGAAAATAAAATCTTAGTGACATGCTGTGTGGATAATGTATCTTTTTAATATGTCATGGACTATAAGTCAGAAAATGATGATTATTAGCTTTTCCTTGCTAACATTTTTTTTGAGGTGATTTTTAGATCAAAAGAGAGATATCTATAATGAAGATTCTCAGGCATCCTTGCATTGTTAAGCTCCATGAGGTACACTAAGGTTTTATCATGTATAAATTACCCTTAGGAGTGGACTCAGTTCTCTTTTGATTGGTTTGGCACCCTTTAGTGCCGGGTCAGTTCAGCTTTACTCTGTCCACCCATAGTTATCATTGTTAAAATGCTTTCTTTTACCGTACATGATTTTATACATTCTCTCAATGCACATATGTTCATTAACCTTGATCTGTCTTAATATGGTGTAGGTTTTATCTAGCCAGACAAAATTATATTTTGTTTTGGAATTTGTATCTGGAGGAGTACTATTTGACAAAATTGTAAGGATATTCCAACTAATGTATATTATAGTTTTTCATGAATTTCTAGAGTGATTAGTTATCTCCATATAGTTGCAATTAGTTTTTTTCCCATATTGTTGAACTTAGCCTAGCATCATACATTGTATAAACAATGTTGAGAGATGAGACTTTGATTATATCTTAATACAGTTTATTGTTCTCGAAGTTCTTTTGATTTTTTCCTTCATTTTCTCTTTCATTTTAAGAGTCTTGTTAATTACGTAGTAATTACTACCTCCGTCCCGCTAAGATTGTCCCGTTTTACCATTTTGGTCCGTCCCACTAAGATTGTCTCATACCAAATTTGGCAAAGTTTGTGTGGCTCTAAATCATTCTTACTTTATTCTTACTTTATCAATTCAATATCAACCACATAAACCGCTTTTTATTAATTTGCGTGCCACTCCCTCATGTCCCATTGTTAGTGGGACGGAGGGAGTACCATTTTTCATTTTTTCCGTCCCAAAAATGTTTGAATCCTACCAAACTAACCAAAGTATGGATGACACTTTGCAAAATGTCATCCATATTTTTAGGAATTCAATGCTAATCACACCATTCCACTCTTCCTTAATGTATGGGTATGTTCCTTGTCATGAATTTTATGGGACGGAGAGAATACTTAGGTAGTTTTTATGTGGACTTATTTCAGTCCCAGGCGAGACGGCTAAACCATACTAGACCAGACTTAAATTGACTAGACTAGACCAGGCTTAGACAGTTATAAAATAACATGGACCAAACATTTACCAGATCGGATTAGAAAGTTTCAGTCCAATTAAAAACGTCCTTAGTAACAAATTCTAAGGAATGGTATTTGGCGCCAATGTTCTTTTTTTCTGCATGAGTTTATAGTGTAAACTAATGTTAGGTGATTAGGGTGATTAGTCTAAACTATAAATTTTATGCCAATGGCTTGAACTTGTGGGGATTAAGGTGCTGATGACTAAGAAAATTGTTACCTATGTTGCATAGTTCTATAGTTGAAGTGCAAACTCTTTCATCAAAACACATTTTTCAAAGAAATTATAATTTTCTTTCTACAGCACTTTTCAGTTTTCCCATAGAATGCTTTTTCATCTCTCTGTTCAAGACGATTTGTTACTACCTGCTCTATATGTTATGCATGGAGGAAAGGTTCATCAAGGCAGACTTCGTGAGGATGAGGCGCGACGCTACTTCCAACAACTTATTGATGCAGTTGCACATTGTCATAGTAAGGGTGTGTACCACCGTGACCTTAAGGTGTGAGGCAATTATTGATAGTGTTGTCAATAATCTATACTGTAGTGCAGCTATTTAATGGTTTACGCGTAATTTGATTGTTTTTTCTCTTCACTGATTAATAGCCAGAGAATCTGCTTCTTGATTCCTTTGGGAACCTGAAGGTCTCTGATTTTGGATTGAGTGCATTACCTCTGCAAGTAAGGGACTTGGCAATGACTGTAACCACCCATGCCCCTAACACCCCATCTTTTCTCATTCTTGACTTGAAAAACCTTTAATGATTTAACTTTTACTCATCTTCAGGGAGTTGAACTTCTTCATACCACTTGTGGAACTCCAAACTATGTTGCTCCTGAGGTACTTCTCTTTCATGAACATTCAATAAACACTATTGGCACAACCATTTCCCATCAAATATCTAAATGTATGAAAACTATTTTTCAAAATTGGCTATCCCATATGTTAGTTGGATTCTAAATCATGTTGTCCGTAGGCTAATAGCTGTTGGCATACAAGTAGACTTATATTGTAGGGTGAGGCAACCCGGAGCCTATTTGGCTTCAGTAATCAGTACAAATGTAGAATAGAATATGTACTAATATTTGCGTAGTTTCTAATTTTATGCCACTTTATGGTTACTTAGCTAATAGTGATAACTTGTTTTTTGAACCCCATTAGCATGAATGGAAAATTGGAAACTAAATTTTTGGAAAGAAAAAGTTAAGGTCCTTCCATTTCCATGTGTTAGGTTGTTTTCCCAATGTTTAGTGGTTGGAAGACAACTCCACATCCACAAAGAGATCAATATGGTGCACTTGATGTTGTCAGATGAGTGAATACATTCTTTGATTTCCATCCCAAAACAAGTGACTATTAAGGAAAAAATAGGCTTAAGGAGATGAGTAATTATCACAAATTGGCAGATATAACATCATTATGTACCAAGGTATCAAAAGTATAAAGCAAGAGTTAACATAAATATTGAAGGACAACTTAGTCATTATACAAAAACAACATCTAAGCCTTAGACCCAAAAGAGTTTGGAGAAATTAGTGATTAGACTATTTTTTTTGTACTGCTCAATGGCTACATATTGATGAACACAATGTAGTGAGCTAAAGCCTAAAGGTCACTTATTTTACAATAGAGGGAGTATTTACCAAATTCTTTTGTGCGTTGAATTCCCAGTCAATAGCTGTGTAGCACCACATGTCTCCTCCATCTCAGAATTATCACAAATGGAAGGGTTTCACCAAGATAGGATACCTCAAGAAGTATTTTGGTGGGTCTTAACTAGAAAAGGCACATCGTGTAGGTATATTAGTATCATCATGAATATGTATGAGGCTTGTACTACAAGTGTCCGTATTAGTGTAGGGAGGACTGAAGATTAGCTCTAAGTTCGTTCTTATTTGCTATAGTCATGGATGAATCTAAGAAGTCAATTCAAGAAGATATACTATGGTGCATGATGAAACACAATCGGGTGTTAAAGCAAAGTTCGAAGTATGAGGACAAACATTGGAGACTAAGGGTTTTAATTTGAGTTGAAGCAAGACTGAGTATATGGAGTGCAAATTTGGTGGAGGTAGAAGTAGTAGTGCAGAGGGATTACCCTTGATGGCAAAGAGATACGAGTGTTTTTTTTTAGTTACTTGTGCTCCATAATTCAAAAGGATGGTGAATTGGATGTAGATGTATCCCATAGAATCAGAGCATGGTGGATGAAATGAGAGAGTACATCAGGCTTTCTATGTGGCCAAGGTGCCGACTAGACTGAAGGATAGATTTTATCGGATGATAATTAGGTTTGCATTAATGTTTGACGTAGAGTGTTGGGCGGTGAAACAATGTCACATTCAAAAGTTGAGGGTTACAGAGATGCGCATGTGGTGTTGGATGTGTGGACATACCAGAAAAAACCGCTTGAGGAATGAGATAATCAGACAAAGATGAGAGTAGCACCTATAGACCAAATGATGCACATGTTAGACGAGTTGGGAGGTGGAGAGAAAAGGCGGGGAGGAGAGAAAGAGGAAGACCCAAACATACTTGAATTAGTGAGAACCAGGATGGAGAGTGTGTTAGAGTAACTACCTCGGGTCCTGCGGGGTCGGGGTGTTATAAGTGGTATCAGAGAAACCCTGCGACAATGTGCTGATCCGTTGGATATCGGGCAGACTCTTAAGATTGGTTTATGGGCGTAACGAGAACGTTGCGTTCCTAAATGGGGTGATTGTAACATTTGAGATTAATTTAAAAGGATTAACAGTACTACTCATACCAACAAGATGCATCTCCTTTTAAGGGAGCTCATTAGTTAAGAACTCCAAAGTTAAGCGTGCTTGCACTCGAGTAGTCTTAGAATGGGTGACTCCATGGGAAGTTTCTCGGGGCGCACATGAGTGAGGCGCACATGAGTGAGGACAAAGTGCGCGAAAAAGGTTAGTGGCGGTTTGTGAGGACAGTACTAGAAGTCTGAGGGTGTGTACGAGTAACTAGCTCGGGCCCTACGGGGCGGGGTGTTACAAGTACATCTTCTGGGGTTGGATCAGAGTGGTTTTGGAGAGAGCAATGTGGAGGGCGCATATTTGTGTTGACGATTGATCTCTTTTCTCTCTCTCTCTCTTAGTTTTTCTTTTATCTTCTTAATCTTTCTATGTTCTTTTGTATTTTATCGTTCTTATGTTCTTTTATCTTTCTTATGTTTTTATATTATTTTTATCTCATATTTATCTTTATCTTATCCATTTATCTTACTTTATCCTTTTATTTTTCATATTATTTGATTTATTTCTCTCTTTTTGGCTTTGATGTCATGGATCGATTCATGTTAGCCGACCTCAAAATCTTTTGGGAATAAGGCTTGGATGTTGTTGTTGTTCATCATCATCATCATCACCATTACTCTAGTGCCGCAAAGGTTCCCACCTATGGTGGGGTAAGGGGGTCAGATGTACGAAGTCTTACCCCTGTACTAAAGCACAGAGAGGCTGTTTCCAGATGACCTATAGTGAAAATTCCATGGACTGACTACTAATTGATAACAAAGAAGCGCAATATTTTATTATGGATCCATTCTATGGACAAGTATATCAACAAAGGCGTGGACGGGAAGGTTCAGAGGAATTAGTTGGTCAAATCGGGAAAGATCAAAATGCTCTAGGTGGCTGACCAAGAGGATAAGAAAAGCTGGCAGATTGACAACGGGCAGCATTTAATTAATTAGCATTTAATTAACTAGACTAGATCCTAGTTATTTCAGATTTTTAGTTATTTCCTTATTCAATTTAGGAAACTTTCTATTATCCTTATGCTTCCTATTATCCTTATGCTTTCTATTAGGACTCTTGTAATCTCTATATAAGGGACCTAATATTGTTTAATAAAGTACCCTTGAAGAATTAATATGATGTGTCTTGATTAGGTCGGGCACCGATTAATTCCTTAAGACTCTTCATAGTTATTCTCCGCCTCATTCGATAATCTTATTATAACAACATTGATATTAAGGTCTCAGTTGGCTCTTCTTCTCTCCTGAGATCTCGTTTGAGACCTTGGACAAGGTCGTATACGTGAATCCTGAACACGCAGACAGTCTAGTGAACCATTTTGCTTTATTCCATCATATTCCCAAGCTAAAATATAGTGAGTTTTTGGCTCCATTGCAAATGATGGGAAGATGTTGTCGGAAAAATTTCACCAGAAGCTAATAAAAGTTATTGAACCATGAATTTAATAAGATGTCATATCATTGTCTAATTTATTTCTCTACCAAGTGTAACTGATTGAGTACATCTGCTAAGAATTTAATGTGAATACTAGTCTGATGGTCCAAGTTCATCTATCGTTTCATTCTTTGTTGTTTCTCTCTTTTACACCTATGACATGATTCAGATTAATGCATTCCCAGTTTATGATGTATATGCTTGGCTATCACAGTATCACAGTACCCTAATGGCTACAGGTGCTAGGCCAACGTGGCTATGATGGAGCTGCTGCTGATGTGTGGTCATGTGGAGTCATCCTTTACGTTTTATTGGCGGGATCTCTACCCTTTGACGAGGCACAGATTCTACCATTATATCGAAAGGTCAGGTACTGTCTTTCTCCTTAAAATTTGGTTGATATACCCTTATGGCATGATGAAAGTATATGTTTTAATAGCTTGTTCTCTCACCACAGTTAATTGCAGCAGAATTTGTCTTTCCGTTTTGGTTCACTCCTGGTGCAATATCATTGATACAGAAAATACTTGATCCCAACCCTAAGACTGTATGTTCACTTATGTTCTTATTCTTATTAGACTATTAGAGACTTCCGAATACTTTGTTTTAATCTCAAATAATAAAAGGATGCTTGATGTGAGTTTTCTCGCACTTAAAAAGATTGTAGAATAGTGGTTTAAATACGAGTATCGTCTCCATAGGGACGGAAAAAGGGAAATAAGAATTAACTAAATTCAGCGATGAAAATAAAGTAAATAAAATAAATGCAATAGTGCGAGATTGGTTGGTTTGGAAAATAAATTAATGCGAATGAACGATTAAAATAAAAAGATTGGTTTTCTTCTCAATTAACGACGAAGGGAACATGATTGATTCCGGGGTAATCAGATTTCTGGCAGATCCGGCCTAATTACATGAAATTAATTTAATTGAGTCTAGCTTATCATTACTAAGTTCTTACTGCTCTCGCGGCGTAGAGTACAATAATTTAGGGAACCGGGTTGATCTCTCATGCGACTCTCATGCGGCAGGATCCTAAATTATTGTCAAGACGAGCGAGCTTACGACCCCGTAATCGCTACTAATCTCTTAGTGAACGATTAAGTGTGTGTGAATGTGTCCTAAAATAAACTAGATCTCTCTTAATTTATTCTACAAACAATTGTAATTCTAGCGCGCGTTCTAGGTTACAAAAGATATCAGTTAAATTATTCAAACACAAATTAAACGACATTCATGCAATTAAACCGACAACAATCTAGCCATACATCATGATCAACCTCTTCATCAATCCCAAATTCCTAATTAAAACTACTCGCAATTCATAATTGAAGAATCAATGGAATTGGGATGAATAGAAATAATTGTCATTAATTAAAAAGAATGAACTTACAAATAATCTCAAGGTTCTTGAAGAAAACAACTTAAAAACGCAAGAAAATTCGTCCCTATGCCTCTCCGTAATGTTCGTAACACTTAAACAGGAGAAGGGAGACCTTATTTATAGAAAACAGATGAGATTGGGCTGAATTAGGACTAAAACGGGGTCAGACACGGCGTGCCTAGGGGCCAGGCATGACCGTGCCTGCGGAGCAAGGCAGAAATTCGCGTTTCGGGTCCAGGCATGGCGTGCCTGGCAATTCCGGCGACCAGGTACATTGTAACACTACAGCCATGCCTCCCTGGGCACGACCGTGTTTCCCTTCCAAATTTGGAGATACTTCCTTCATGAAAGTTGTAGATAATGAAGTCCCCTATCCACCACAACTTGCCGAATTGGATTTGAATCATCCAATCAAAAGATATGAATAAAATGGTGGAAGGTCACATTCTGAAATCGCAACACGCAACAGGGATCAGCTGATTTCATCGTCTGTTTTCACCTTACTCCTCTCAAATTCTCGGAATGATGTCTTCATATGATTTGTAGCCCTTGATGTTAGCTTGCATATGGAACTTGAATCGTGTTCATTGGTTGTTTCTACAATAAGATATGTTTGAACGATTGACAGAAGGTCATCCTGATCGTCATTTTCAAGCTTTATTCATCTTCTTTTGATCCCATAGTCAATTCTAGAGCTCTTTTGTCATCAAATCTTCATCGTAAACCTCCTGGTGACCTCCAAAGCTCTCAAATCACTCTCGAATGCTTCTCAACTCGCCCCGATTTCTTCTCAACTGTCGGTGCCGGACTCGATTTCCCTGTTTTTGACTCAAAACAACACAAAACTCAAACCAACGCCCGGTAAACATAACTTGAGCTAAAATTGAGACTTGTGACACCTTAAAACTAGGAAAACCATCAAAATCCGATCCCAACACGCATCAAATGTGTGTCTAAATACGGACTTATCAATGCTAAAACAATTACATCGCTAAATATCTAAACTACCAAAGACAATTCCTAAATCATTTCATGATTCCTTTTCTTTATTGTGACTAAGTTATTGTGGAGTGTTATTGTACTCTATGAAAACCTAGTAATTTTCTGGTGTGGGCGTGCATCTTGTAAGGCTGTATTCATGGGACAGCTTTATTCTCTAGTGATTGAAGTGTACTAGTTGTCTTATCCAGCGCATTAAAATTGAAGGGATCAGAAAAGATCAATGGTTTCAGAAGAATTATTTGCCTATCCAAGGTAAGAAGGATGAAAAAGAGACTGTGGGTGATGTCTGTGCTGTGCTTTATGGCAGCAAGGTTAGATTTCTTTCTGTCATAATACTTCAAAATATGTTAGAGGCCACAGGTAGAAGCATATTTATGCTCCATTGACAAAATGTGTATTACTTTTTGCCTCTTCTATTTTGTTTCCCTTCTTTGTGTTGTTTTAGTGTTTTTTGCATTTATAGAGAAATTCCATATTTCATATATTCAGTTGTTCTTTGCATAATACAATCATAATTTTCTCATGTTCATTGAAATATGCAGCATGAAGTTGTAACTGAGCAGTGTGAAAGTACTACCAATGGCCCTTTTGTTATGAACGCTTTTGAAATGATTGCTTTATCTCAAGGGTTGAACCTGTCACCATTGTTTGACAGGCGCCAGGTACATTGACAATTCAAGTTCATGTCTTCTCATCCTCTTTACTATGTTTTTTCGTTTGATAGTTGCCTCTTATTGCTTTATGCCAATTGAATCTCGGCACTGACATTTTGTGACAGAAGGTAGTTTAGCTCTAATAGTTGATGATTATGCTTTACAGTTGAAATTATATTAACATTAACTTCTATTTGCATTTATTTTCTTCCTTCTTCAAGTAAAACTAGGCTTTGTTGTATCTGAAAGAAGCTTACGTACTGCTATTTCTTTTCTTTTCTTCAGGATTTTGTCAAGCGGCAAACCCGTTTTGTATCACGTGAGCCGGCGAAAGTTATCATTTGTGCAATCGAAGTGGCGGCAAGATCCATGGGACTAAAGTTCCATTCATCTAATTACAAGGTAAACTGCTAATTAGTATTTGCATCTAGATAATAATCGTTAACATGCTCTAAGTGTTAAATGATCCTACATGACTAAAATAGAAGGGCCGGTGATACAAAAAAAACAATAATGAGTCCGTTTGGTAACACTGAAATCGGCTGAATTGGTTGATTCTGCTGAAATTTATAAAGTCTTGGCTGAAGTAGCTGTAGTGGCTGATTTTGCTGATTTATAATAAACCTATATTTAAAATATATTTTACTAATAAAATAAAGATTTTTTTTTATGAAAAATAGCTAAAATGATCATCAACAGTAACTTCAACCAATGCAGCCAGAAAAGTAACTCCAACCTTATTTTTTTATTATTACATAATTCAACGCACGAAATCAAAAGTTATGTGTTTGGTTAAAAAACTGACCAGTAAGCCAAATGGGGTCAATGATGTCAATCATCTAAATTGACGGTTTGCTTTTGTCAGCTGATCTTCACAAATTCAGATAAAATGTTTATAGTATTTTCTTTCCAGAATTGTAATTTATGAATACTGATGTAGCTTATTTTACTATAAATACTTTGACAGACTCGGATTGAAGGTGTATCTCCAAATAGGGGCAAGTTTGCTATTGCATTAGAGGTGTGATCTCTGACCTTCCATTATGAACTTTGTATTGTACTAGTATAGTACCCGTGCGATGCACGAGATATTAATTTTCTCATATTATATGTATTTAGGTTTTAAAATGTGAAAAATGAATTCCAAATAAAAATCAGAAAAATAATTGAAATTATTTAAGATTTTGAAAAAAAAATTATATATATGTGTGTGAGTGAATTGTTAAACATTAAAACCTGTCTAAAACATTAAAAAAAATTATATATGTGTGTGTGAGTGAATTGTTAAACATTAAAACCTGTCTAAAATATTGTTGAAGTAAACCTTCATAAAAAATCTCATCTACTACGGTCATTATTAGAATGCATTTTAATCATGGAACATTTGTCTCTAAGTGAGCTGACATTTTCTTCCTTGGCATAATCAAAACCAGCATAAATGGCCATCATCAGTATACAAAGAATTATTAAAGACATTATTAAAAATGAAACTTGTAATAAAAAACACATTATTAAAAACATTACACAGTACAAATATGAAACTCTTACAACTGAAACACTTAACAAATAAAGCAATTGTCCTAATTAAGAGTGAAATATTATCCGACTCTTTGAATGTGTGTACATATTCTATATTCCCTAAATAGCACTACCCATTCTTTTCCTACCCCTTATTCAGTTATTCCCCAACATAATCAGGTCACTCCGTGAGTAGCGGCGGCAGGTTATCCAGCAATGGCGGCCAGGCACTTGCAGCCACAATAAGCCCGGCTATATTTGAATTATTTCAAATAAAAAATTACTATAAATGCAGACATCTATCTGAAGCAATATTTCTAAAGTGAAAAACAAACATTCTACTGTCATTTGAATAATTCATTCATGTATTTTAGTAAAAATGAATAATGTACATTGTACACCGTATCATTTTTAAGGATAATGTTTTCATAGTAATAGTAATGGAAATATTATATACGGAGTATTAAAAACCTTTCACTAAAGTAAGTACATTTACCATTTGAGTACATGGTAATGATGGTAAAGATTTGATTATTTGATAAATCATTTTAGTTTTCACTCTTGCTTGCCCAGATTGTCACCAGTGAAAAACAAACCACCAGGGCCAACATCCAGCCAACCTATTGCCTCTTTGGAGAAGATCTCGCCCTTAGAAAAACTAAAATTCAAAAGTGATATAAAAATAGGAGTAAAAAATTAGAAAACCCCGAGTACAGAGAACAAATGTAGCTCCAACCTACCTACGATGGAAGATCATATGCACTAACTGTGTTGTCATTGCAAAAGCAAAACATTTTACATGTAGCTTTTCACACGTAGCTAACACTCCCTACTCACAGAAAATAGAACCAGACATTCAATTTACACTCAAAGATAAAAACTAAAAAAAATAAAAAGCTGTAGCGTGAATGCTAAAGCTTAAAATTTTAGAATTACTATCCAGGAACGCAAACATGGACTAATGCTATTTAGAAGGAAAAAAAGAAAGATCACCTAAGCATTTTATCCCATATGCAGCTATAGACAACATAAGTTTAACTTCTCAGTTCATTAGATTTCTGTTTTTCTATATCATGTAAGCATTTCATCAAACAACATATGTGCAGAATAAATATTTTTTTTGATAAAGAAAGCAAAATTCTCTAATAAAGAATTGAAACTACTATATATTCATTCAATCATAATACATATAAATGGAGACCTACACATGGGGTAGAAGATGGCGGAAGAGTTACACTTTGATGGTTGAGCCGCGCAATATTGGATGGAATTCTTATTAGTTGAAGTTGGTTTTGTAGACATGGTGTGGCTACATGTTTGAAGATGGTGTGCCTTTTCATTACTGGGTAGCTGCTCTTGTGGATCTTTCAATTTCTCAAGTAGACAAAAATCAAAATTCAGTTACTACTTCCCAGGCTTCATAAATAGATCGCGAAAGCCGAGATGTCCAAACAGTAGATTACAGTAGATTAAGAACACCATCCAATGCACCATTTAATTACCTTGATGCTTCGGAATTGCTAAAGTGTATTTTAGAATATTCAATAGACAGATTCTAGTATACAGATTAGGCCAGCTAGCGCTGGACTTCCCGCCCAAAAGACTTGGGACTATTGCGTTTTTATATATTTCATAGATGTGTGGTGACTCCTATATTTTTGGAAGGTTTTCCAAGTCGCCCCATCTCTGCATATAGTGGATGTCCGTAAGGCAGCTGGGGACACGCTTGAATATCACCGGGTTAGCTTGCTTTACTTTTGATCTTCAATACTTCAATCATCTACTTTGGGATCTCTTTCAATGGAGAAAGTTGTCTTCTTGGACTTGAAAGCTTATGTATTTATTTATTTTTGAAGGAAGAACATGCCTATGTTAAATGTTGAGTTTGCTTTGCAGTTCTACAAGAAATTGTGTGAAAAAATTGACCATGTTATTTGGAAATCAACGGAGGGGATGGCAAATGCTGCTCCGCTACTATGAAACTATCTGTTCTGATTCCAAGGCATGAAGCGAATCAGTTGATATTACAACACAACAACATCCAACCCATACTTGGGACACAAATAATACCATAATGTTCCTGGTTGAGGAATGAATTGACATCTGCAGTGCTATATGTGTTTGTGTGTATATTGACATACTTGTACAGTGCGTATGTGGAGGATTTTTTTATCTTTCCGTAACCATGCGGGCCAGTTTAAATATTTTAATAAAGGGAAAACTGTCAAATAGGGCCTTAAACTTTTATAAAAAGGTCAAATAAGTTCTTATATAGGAGGCTCTGTCCGGCCGTCACGATTTGGGGCGGTTCCCGGTGGAATTTTTTGATGAAAATTTTTGAACATCTTATTCATCAAGTCTAGTTTACTCATACCAAATTTCAACTAAAACTTCAATCGGGAACTCATTCAAATTAATTCTTAAATGCGCAGTTATCTTCAAGAATTAATTTGAATGCGTTCCCGATTGAAGTTTTAGCTGAAATTTGGTATGAGTAAACTAGATTTGATGAATAAGATGTTCAAAATTTTCATCAAAAAATTCCACCGAGAATCGCCCAAAATCGCGACGGCCGTACAGAGCCTCCTACATAAGGACGTCTTTGACCTTTTTATGAAAGTTCGAGGACCTATTTGACAGTGTTACCAAACTTAAAATAATACAGTAAATAATATTAAGAAAGAATGACAAAAATATTACTAATGGATTTTATTAGGGCTCGGCATATCGGTTTTCGGTTCGGTTTTCGGTTCGGTTTTTATCGGTTTGGAACGGGTTGGAAGAATTATTACATAACAAAAATCATACTACTTCCGTTCTCTTTTAGTTGCAACGTAGGATTTTTTCACTATTCACAGATTCTACTTTGACTATATTTTATTTATTAATGTATTATGAGTTAATTTTTTAAATATTTTCAAATTCCTCTCATAGTAAATTTTCAAAATTTGATTTTTTAAATTTTTTTAGTAATAAGGAATGAAAGATATTAACGATCAAACTTATGTGTTGGCAAGTGTGAAAAGTTGACTGTTGTAATTAAAAAAGAATGAAGTACTATTTTTCGGTTTGGATTTGTTAATTTTAATAATATATGAAGGTGTTTTTGAATTTCTTTAGTTTGGTTCGGTTTAATACAGTTTGGAAGAAATAGTACCAAAATCAAATCAAATTGCATATGGTTCGATTCGGTTAAACCAAACCATTATGCCCATCCCTAGATTTTATGGACAAAAATAGGGTTGGGTATATCGGTTTTGGTTCGGTTTTTATCGGTTTCGGTTTGGAATGGGTTGAAAAAAGTATTACCAAACAAAAACAATACTTTTTTTTCGGTTTGGTTTGGTTTAGTTGGGTTTAGATTTGTTAATTAATAATATGTGAAGGTTTTTTTTTGGTTTCTTTAGTTTGGTTCGGTTTTGTTCGGTTTTTACCAGTTTTGATTCGATTCGGTTTAATACGGGTTGGAAGAAATAGTACCAAACTCAAACCAAATTGCATATGGTCCGGTTTCGGTTCAGTTTAGTTTGGTTTGATACGGTTCGATTAAACCAAACTGTTATGCCCACATCTAGACAAAAATATGATTAAACTTTGTTTGGACAAAAAAGTGACCGAAAAAGGTTGGAATGGATTTTAATGCCCTTGCAACCCTAATTTAGAGCCTGTTTGGAGAACTCTGTTTTCGGCTTATCAGGCTTATCAACCAGCTTTTTCACCAAACACGTAACTTTTACTTTCGCGCGCTGAATTGTGTAATAAGCCGAAAAAGTAAGGTTGGAGTTACTTTTCTGGCTGTATTGGCTGAAGTTACTGTAGAGGACCATTTTAGCTATTTTTACATATAATTTTTTCTTTAATTTATTAATAAAATATATTTTTAAAATATTTTTTTCTTAAATCAGCAGAATCAGCCAAAACAGCCACTCCAGCCAGAATATCATAAATTTCAGCAGAATCAGCCAAAACAGCCGATTTTGGTGCTACCAAACGGGCTCATATTAATCGTTTCTTTCGATGATGCATTCGTTCCCATGTCTAGTGCTGCGCTTCTTCTTAATGCTCGATAGGCGATGGCGAGCCATGTCCAATGACAACCAGCTTCGAGTCTTCGACTGCGACAACAAGCAGCGACGCTTATGATGACGGTCAACGGTGGCGGGGAGCAGCGACCTCAATATCCAACCACGGCAATGAAGATTGGTGTTGCCCTCTCCTTCTCTCTCTTAGGCTTCCCACTTTCGCCGCACGCCATTTGGCTATTGGGATGAAAATTGACGGTTCATCATCGCCTTCAACTGGTTGCGCCTCTGGTGGCCGATGGTTGCCTCGACTAGCCTCTCCGTCATGCTCAATGGCCGCGCCTCCTAGGGGGCCGCCAGTGCCGGATTTGTCGTCTTCGATGGACGACGGCTTCGATTTGGGGCCACGGGTATCGGATCTGTTAGGCCATCTTCAACACCATTTTTTACACTAAAATGGTGTAAACATCACATCAAACAGTATTTTATCTCTAACAGTTTACACCATTTACATCACCAAAAAGGAATATTCTCTTTTTATTCTTTTTACTAACTTTTACCATTCTTCTATTTATGTATCTAACTATCATATATTTATACATTAGCCCATCATTTAATATTTTGACATTTCACACATTATTTCACATATACAAACTAAAATACAAGTATTTTCACGCATTTCACTAATTAAAATCAGGGCCGTCTAGAGCGATTGTGAGGCCCTAGACGGTCATTTAGACATTTTGTTTTGATACATTTAATTCAATATAACAATATAAAAAAAATAGAATTTCAAATGAAATAAAAGTGAATTATATATGAAATGCATAATATAATATTAACATTTACTTCAACCTCAACATTTGTAGCCTCATTCTCAACAATATTTGAGGGATAAGGTTTAGATATTATGTACCGATCCATAGGCCGGCAAACGATTTTATGACCATGTCTTTTCTTAATTTATTCAATCTCTTTGTGGACCCCGAGTCATGTTTTCCTTTTCCCATAAACCTACAATTTCATACAATTTCTAACTAGATAAAGTTTTTCTAACTTTCAATATTGAATAATATAAATACAATTATACAAATACACAATAATTTTTAATGATTAAATTGAATTATTATTATTTGATTTATTATAACATAATTATACAACAAATACCGATAGCCTAGTCCCTACAGTCCCCTGTCTCTACTGAAGGCTATAACCTACTGCCTAAGTCCTAACACCAACTAACTATTAAAGAATTAACAATTCAAGGCAATCAAATTAAATGATAGATCAACTACATCAATAAGTGAAGGATTTGATCATTTTAAAAGCTACCAGAAAGATTATCACGAGTGAAGACAGTTGGACAGAAGACCATTACATAATTTTAGTCCTTTACTCTTTTAGCCAGAGGCCCTGTGCTGCTGTGCACCTGTGCACGATGCGGATGTTGGGACTCTATGGCCGGTGGCCACTGCGGTCTACGCCGGCGGAATTGAGAGGGGAGTAGGGGACCAGCTATTGACGATTGCTGGGATTTGCCGTTTCTGAAGAGGCGAAGAAGAGAAATTGAAGGGTCAAATCAAGAAAACTGAAGACTCTTAGACTCGTCCGCTCCCTCACTCGTCTGCCGGTTTTAAATTTTTTAATGTTTTGCTCGGTACTTGTTAGATTAGAAGATGTTTTTATCATTAATTAGCAATTTAAATCAAGAACTTATATATAATATATATGGGCTTACATGAAAAATTGGAGGCCCCTTAGAAATTGGAGGCCCTAGACAAATGTCTAGGCTGGATGCCCCTATGGCCGGCCCTGATTAAAATACAATAATCAATATTTCACAAATAAAAGCTAAAACCACATAAAATTAAATATTACAATAATATTATAATAATTTGTACGTCATTAATAAAGTACTACTTAAACTTAAAGCAATAGATTAATATTGTCTTGGGATGTTTTTACTTGGACTGTAATTTGTCTCGGGATCATATCAGACCTGATTAGACCACACTTGCATAGTTATAAATATACAAAGAAATCAGACCAGACCACATCATTTCAGATCAGACCGGATCAAATCAGACTAGATCAGACCAGAGCAGACAAACCAATTTCAGTCCAAGTAAAACATCCTAATTTGTTGTTTTAAAAATGGATCAAAACTATAATAATTAAAACTTGAAGGTCACATTTAAAAGGAAAAGAAATTAAAAAAGTTGGATGGTGTTGAATATGGTGTACCCCATATATGGTGTAAAGCCATCCCCCCTCCCCCATTTTGGTGTAATGGTGTGAAGTTTGGTGTCATTGTTGGAGCATTTTTTTGCCAAATACACCATTTTGGTGTTGAAGATGGTGCTTGTTGGAGATGGCCTTATTATCGATGGACGATGGCTCCAATTATGGGTTGCCGCTGCTGGTGGGGTGCAACAGGGGTTTCGTGGTGGTGCGGTGTGTTATGGCTAGGGTTTTGGGCTAACTGGTCGGAGAAGGACCTGGGGGAGGACATGGGGCAAGGCAAGGGAGTAGAAGAGGGGGGTTGGGGACAGGGAGTGGGTTGGGGGGCAGGTGGGTAGGGGTAGGGGTAGGGGCAGCTCAAGGGAAGACGTGGGTCATCGGGGGGGGGGGGGGGTCGGAGGTTGTGATTGTTGAGTGTTGGGGGGCTGGTGAAAGGCGGCGGCAGTGCCTTGGGCTGGGTAGCGGGATGACCGTAGTGTTGTTGTTGGTGGTAGGGCGGTGGAAAAAGTAGTCGGAAAACTTTTCGGCCATCATATTGACGATGTGGCGGTGACCAGAGTAACTTCCGGTGGGCGACATCACTGGAAAGTCGAGTCTCATCGGGCAGTGGCAGTGTCACCATAGTTAGTGTCATCGTGGCCGGCGACGATCACCGGGTGGAGGTGGTGGTGGATGTCACTGTGTAGCGTGTCACTATAGCAGTGGGTAAATTAGTAAGCTTATAACTTATTATCATTGTTCTAAAAATCGCCCTAGGCGCTAGGAGGTGGACGGGTGCCTCGATTTTAGTCTAGACGCTCCGACTAATTTATTTGACACTTAGGTGAATAACTCAGCCGTCATGGGCGTCTAGTTGCCCGCGCAGAGCGCTTAACCCGCCGCTTAGGCATCTAGATTTGTCCAACATTTTATTTTGGGTTTTCATTTTAGTATTCTAAAAGATATGTGTACCTTTAGTTTTAACAACACATATGAAGAAATGTACTAGTTGTATATTAAGATAAAAACTATAAGAAAAAGTTCAGGTCCGAACGTTCGGCCTCCGTCCGAACACCGTCGTTTGGGGCGGTTCCCGGTGGATTATTTGATGAATTTTGTTGAACATGTTCCTCATCAAGTCTAGTTTGTCTATACCAAATTTCAGATCAAAATTAAACATAATTACCCAAGATTCTAATAAGAACTCCTTCTAAAATGAGATTTCATGTATAAATGTGGAGTTAGAATCGACAATATGACACTGAGAAATAAGAACTTGAGTGTTCATACTTGAAATGAAGAGGTTACTACTTTAATATTATACGTAGTACTCCGTAACCAAAATAAAGCTCCGATATCAACGGTGGTCGTCGGTCAAGACTAGGGAGACAAAAAGTGGTTCCTTAATTAGCTAGCTTATTCTCCATCCGGAGCTACTAGGCATTTCATATGTACAGACAGCGCGCAGGCCTAGTAGCTCTAGTCTAGCTTTTATAGCAATG